TGCTAATATTTTTGGTTTTATCCTAGTTACCTGTGAGTTACTGAGTGTAAAACATACATCTAACAATAACACTCTTGGTGTCCAACGTACAAATTACTATATTGTTCTTTGCTGAACACATCTTGGTGAATTTTTTAACTTAAACTTCTTTGATTTTTAACTGTAGTGTACTGTAATAATGAATATTTTACTTTAAGACAGTGATAGTTCAGTTCTTTTTTGTATAATGAAGTGGGGCCCAAATCCCACTAAAGCAACTTTTTGAAAGTGTGCAGGATTGACTTTTTTGGAGCAAATTGTGGAATGAAGACCATATTTGTATATTTTAATGGAAAACTTCGCTGAGTGACATTGCTCTGCTTTGAAATGCATAGCTTTTTATAATCATGCTCCTGAATAATTTACAGACCCCAAAATAACAGCAACAAAATAGCAAAAAGGTATTCCACCAAGAATCTAGTTTATACTGTAAAAAAAAAAAGAATGTTTTAAACAGTTTTCTTATTATTCACTAGATGGCAGCTGATCTTCAAAAATGGTTATATTTCTCTTTTCAGATCTGATAATTTGAAGGGAGTAATCATCAGGCTTTGGAGAAATCAAATATTGTCCAGCATTTGTCTTCATTTCTAATATGAAACTGAAAAACCTGCACAGTGAATGTTCAGATAATTCTCTGCTTCATTACTGTTTCATGTTGGGTTTGTTGCTGTTTATTTCTGGGGAAGAATGTTCCTTTATTCTTTGCTTTCATATTTAGTGGACCAGATTAACTACTTTTTAAGGAGAACATACAATAATAATATTCTAAAAATAAAGAATAATATTTCTGTTTTATATATACATATTGTTTTTTGTAGAATAAAGTAATGTGCAAAATTCCCAATTATTGCAGTATACAAAATCAAAACAACAGTGTCTTGTTACAATAATTCCCTGTATACAAAATGAAGAGGATATTAAGCTGATTATATTTAGATAAGTTTGACTATAGTATCAGAACTGAAATTTCTATTTTAAACTGACAAATTATCAGTCTTTAGCATAGTCTTTTTAATGGTAAATGGATTTGAAAATGTGCTGTGATTGTGAATCAGATAAAGATAGCTTAAAGTGAGTAGATGCCATGTATATACTTTAAGGCAGAATCTTAGTATTTGTGGAAGTTGTGTGACTAAGTCTAAATGCTGGATTATATGTATGCTAAATATTATACATTTCAGACACCAGGCTCTGTTACAACAGAACTTCATAAATAAATTGTAAAGACGTGCTTAGAAAAGGAGTGGAAAGAACTTTTGTATGTCTGCATGTCTTTATGGGAGGGCCACCCTCAATGTGTTTACTTAATTTTCTAGTGAATATCCAGTCTTGTATCTTTGTACGGAAAAAGTTCCCATTGTAGTTAGCAGGAAATTTGGATGTGTGAGGCATGTGAGGTTAGGCTCTGCATTTGTCGAAGAAGAGTGCGGAAAATCTCTCTCTGCTGCCAGAAAGCTATTGTGAAGTTACTGCACCTTTGGTAACATTCTTGCTGCGTCTCTGCAGGAAGTTACTGCTGTCACTGAGGAAGCACCAGAAAAAGCAAAGTGTGCCTGCACCTGAAGTCTTCCAATGAAAGTCATTTGTGTTTGCACAGGTTGTCAAGGAAATGATTTTATGCTAAGACACTACATTTACTTGGGAGTGACTTGAGGCCCCACTGCACATTGCAGACTCTTGACAGTTCTTTAGGGTGGTAGCCTTTCCAAGAGGGGAGAAATAAACAGCATCAGGTAATTTAACAAGACACATTTGTCAATTTGTCAGTATTTGTCTTTGGCACCTTTTCATTACTGCTTACAGGTGCTTGGTTATCTGTTTCAACATAATATATAATCCAGTGGGTCACTAGATCTTATTTTGGATATGGAGTAGTAAGATCCTTTTGTGGTATCCAGTATAGGAATGAGAGGAGACTCTGGAAAATTACAGAAGGACCATGCAAGACTGAGGAACTTAGCAAAAAAATGGCAGATGAAATTCATTATACATAAATGTGGACTGATGCACAAAGAGAAGAGCAATCAGAGAGAGAAGGGTCCCTTTTATAGCATCAAGATAAATGATTCCCTGAAAATGTCAGCTCAGCGCCTGATGTGCAAAAACCAAATAAAATGTTAGCATTAACTAAAGAAGGAGCAGAGAACAGAACAAAAACCATCTCAGTCCCACTGTGTAAATTTGGGGCTCACCTGTACATTAGATATTTTGGGTACAGAAATCTGTAGTAGAACTGGGAGAGGTTCAGAGATAGCAGCAAGAATAATCAAAGGTCTGAAACTGCTTCAGAGCAAGAAATGACTAAAAGTAGACTGTGTCTCCTCAACACAAAAAGAAAACTTTGAGGTGGCTATGGAAGGGATTTATGAAGTGGTAATCTGGATGAGAAAGGCCTGTTCTAAGGGTCTATTTCATATGCCAGAACAAGTGATGCTAGTCAGACCTCCCTTCAAAACAAAGAGATAATCCATCATGTGATGAGTACTGCATCTAGAACTTCACTGAAGGATGCTGTGGATGTGGCAGTGTATATGTGTGTGGGAAGACTGGTCAGGTACTTAGAAAAGGATGTTGGTCATGAGAGTGCTCAGGATTGAGGATGTCTGTATGAGAAGAGAGCGCAGAAGCGATTGCTGAAGAGCCACATTCCCATTGGTGTCAGGAACTTCTGCAAACTGAAATCGTTGGAAACCAGGACTGCCTGAGAAAGGAAGTGTCCCACACACTTATTCTCTCTGTGACCACCGTTCTCAGTTTTGTCATTTTAAAAGCACATTCTTAAAACATCACTGCTCATTTTTTGAATGATACAGAGTTTTATAAAAATGATTGGTTTCAGGCATACAAAATGTTAGGTACCTGCTTTGTGTTCACATTTTCCCTCTTAGAAAATCCAGCATAGCAGTTATACGGTTAGCGTAGAGTTTACATAGAATGGTCTTGCAGCTTTCTAGGAATTTTCCCAAATGCATTCAAGGAATTCCCACTGTGGTTTCTAGGAATTTCCCTTGCCCTTTTAGAGAATTTTAAAGAATTCTCCTTAGGCTTGGTAGGAATTTTCCTATCAAGTTTTCCTTCCTTGCTTTTTAGGGATTTCTGCCAGTGCTTTCTAGGAATGTTCTATTTTCTCTTCCGCTTTCTAGGGATTTTTTGAGTGTATCCTAGGAATTTGTCTGGTGACCTGACATGTTCCCCATGCCTTCTAGGAATTTTCCAGGTGCATCCCCTCTGTGCTTTCTAGAAAGTCTTTTTAGAATAATAATTTCTAGGAATTCTCTCTGTGCTTTGTAGGAACATTCCTACGTTCCAGGAATCCATGCAGACTCACCTGAGGATCCTCCTCAATCCATCTAGGAACCCTTGCCATGCCTGCTCTGAAGAGCTGGTTGAGCAGGAGCAAAACCTGAAGTACTTGGATATGAAGCCAGTTGTTCAGTACATCTCTTTTCCCACCCAGCTTAGCTTGGAAAATGTTTCACTCTTCTTTTTAGACTTTGCTTCCTCCATGCCACAGCTCTGTGTTATTTTTTTTCTCCTTTCTCCTTGTTCAGATAGACAAATTTTCTTTTTTCCTTTTTCAGGTTTTCTGATAGGTCATATTGCTGTCTTCAGAAAAGCTCTAGCACTTCTTCACATGTTCACAGAGTATTCATGTCAGACTGATTTTAGAGCAGTATATATGTCACTTAGTCTTAACTTGAAAACTTCAGATAAGACTGTAATTTACAATTTTTATTAGTAGATCAGTAAAAGACATTAACTTGTAAACAAATGTTTGTAATATAGTGATAGCACAAAGACTAAGTACTGAATCAGAAGGCAATTAATTTAATTGAGATTTAGTTGCATGTGAAACACCTGTGTTAGCCTAGCTAGCATCACCTGCACTCAGGATACTTGCTTTGATGAATCCACTAGTCAGTAAACCTTTGGCTCCTGATAATTGTTTTTTATAATCGGGTTCCATGCTGTAAAGAAAAAAATGTTTTGTCCTGTTTGAAGTACTTTTATGAAAGTCCTTCTTCTTTGGGGACAGTAGAATTAGATAAATGCATTAGCAATGAATCCAGTTGTATTGGCATGAGAAACAATCTGCTTTTAGGAAGGGAAGCTCAGTGGTTAATGGTGTTAAAAAGACTTTGGTGGGTTTGGTTTTGTTTATTTCTGTTTCTTTTGGTTTTGTTCCTAAAACCTGTCATGGCTCAGAATGCACTGACAGGGCTTAATCACCCTGAGGAGGCTCACCTGGGGCCTCCATCTACACCTCTGCCCATGAGAGTGGCACTCTATTTAACATCAGGCCTGGATAGTTACTCAGTGATGGCTTCTCTTACACTGTGTGTATCTCTTTAGAACTAGTTGTGGTATAGGTATGGATCTTGTTGTATGGGACTGATTTTCTGGCTTACCTGTGGATGTGGAGTCTTAGCTGTTGTTCCTGGGGATAAGTTGTTCAGGTTCTTTGGGCTTAGGTTTGTGAGCTGTGCTTTGCCAGGCTTGATACCAAATTTGGCTACTGATGAGGAAAGTATAATCGATCTGTTTAGTACCAGTGAGCTGTTGGATTGGCTTTAGCTACTCATAGACAGTACATGAGAGCCTCAATGTTTATGTTCATCCCCCCCTGTTTTTTTTTTTTTAATTTTTATTTATTCCCTTTTCTAATGGCTCAGCCCTCTGAGTAAGGGAAAGCAAGTAGAACTGACTGAAGCATGTTGAATAGGTGAATAACAGTTCTGTTTTGTGGTGATGTGTGAGGTTTAAAAGTATAACAAAAAAAAAAAAATCAAGTTTCTTACAGAAGAGTATTAAATTCAAAATTCCATCTCAGAAAAGATAACTCTTCCAGAGGAGGGCCACAAATATGGCCAGAGGGCTGGAGCACCTCTCCTATAAAGACAAGCAGAGAGAGCTGGCTATAAAGACAAGTAGAGAGAGCTGGGCTTGTTTAGCCTGGAGAAGAGAAGGCTCCAGGGAGACCTTAGAGCAGCCCTCAAGTATGTAGAGGGGTTGATAGAGTCTCCTTCCAACACAGCAAAGGGACTTTTTACAAGGGCATGTGGTAACAGGGTAAGGGGGAATGGCTTTAACCTGCAAGAGGCTAGATTTAGATTAGATGTTAGGAAGAAATTCTTTACTGCAAGGGTGGTGAGGCACCGGCACAGGTTTCCCAGAGAAGCTGTGCCTGCCTCATCCCTGGCAGTGTTCAAGGCCAAATTGGACAGGGCTTGGAGCAACCTGGTGTAGTGGAAGGTGTCCCTGCCTGTGGGAGGGGGTTGGAGCTGGATGAGCTTTAAGGTCCCTTCCAACCCAAACCACTCTGTGAATATGTTTGAACTGTATTAGTAACAGTGAGCTCTTACAATATTTTGACTGCATACTTGGCGAAAGATAGCCTTTTCAATACTACTTATGTATTATTTTTGTATTATTTGTCAGAGAAACAACTTTGGACAGAAAAGGGGTGGTAGTTTCTGCTTGAAAGTAATTGACTTAATTATCTTAGAGAATGGGATGCAGAATATTTTATTAAATTTTTTTTTAAATAATGAAGCACACACTCTAAACAATGCTTGTTATTAAAGGTTATTACTATTTTTGGAGATGCACTGAAACTTGTGTGCTTGTCCCAACATACAGTGTCCTTACAAAGCTTATTGTCATAGCAATTCTTTAGTATTTTGTTTATGCTTTTATACAAAAATTTAGGAAAAGTACAAGAAACAAAGCATTAATGTAAAAATTATTTTCTTGGGAGTGTTACTGTGTGAGGGGCATAATCCCTGAATAGAACTATTCTTTACAAATTCTTTATTTGAAATACTTTATTATACTTTTGGCCTGTACAAGTTCTGGTACTGGGGCAAGTTCTGTGCTTGTGTGTAGCAGTGTTTTTTAGCTTTTGAATGTGACTGCACGTGAAGTTCTACAAAATTGTTTCTGCAACGCTTTTTAGTTATCTGTTGCCAAGTAGTTAATTTCTAATAAATTTTAGCAAGATCAGAACATCAATTTAATAATGTTAAAGTGATGATTACATATCCCAACAACATAGGTCAGTTTCATTTATAATTTCTAGTGTCTGAAGTGCTTTTAGGAATATATTTCATTGTCTGAAATTCTGAAATAGAATGGTGCTATATTCCATTACTCAGTAAATTTCTAAAGTGTCTGTTTTTCACTTCTGCAGGTTGTCAGGGTCTCCTTCTGTGAAAACTAACTTGGTGCAGTAATACCTCATAGAGAAGAAGTTTTTAGGTAAGCTCTTTCTCATGAGTGATTTCCATAAAGAGATCAAATACTTTATCTCCTTTTTCAATTACTTGATGGTTAATCAGTTAAACTTATTGCTGATATATATTTGCATTAAAAATGGTTAAGATGATTTTTTTATAAAACAATATGCTGGCTGGAAATGCTAATGTGGATTGTTTAATGATCACTGTATCTCAGAAATGTACTGCTGGAAAAAATATTTATTCTCTCATTGCCTGGAAATTTAGTTAAAATTATTTCCTTCATTCTTGTCTTGCTGATTCATACAGGAACATATTAAAACACTGGTTATGATGGTCCTAAACTGAGTAGGATTAAGCAGAACTTTCTTCATATGCTTTCCACTTTGGTTGTAAAAGGAGGGTAAGGTTTCTAGAAGTGGTAATAACTGTGATTTAGTTTCATACATGTTTATTTTTGTATTAAGTATTCTTGGTCACAAGCATGGCTGATTAAAGGTAGTAAAAATAATTCACAGCTTGCAGTAGCCTATTAAAGAAAATTGAAAATTTGACTTTACCAAGATGGCATTGCTGCCGTATACTTACATGGAAATGAGACCACAGTTGCTCACTGCAGGAAGAGAATTAAGCATATTGCTTAGAAATAAAGTAACTACCCCTCCAAAAATAAAACCAAACCCAAACCCAAAGAAAACAACAAAAAACCCAAATCCAACCTGGCAGGCCAATGTGGGAGGTATATGAGCATCTTTAACTTCCTTCAACAACTGAGGTCTTGGCATTGCCCATGAAATGCTGATCATGTTGGAAAATCTGACTTCAACTTAGTACTAATAATTTGATACAGATATGCCACATGCAGTGATAAATCTTGAATTCCCTTAAACTATTGTGTTCTGAAAAGAGTACAATGTATTTATTTTTTTTTCTGCTATACCAGTTGTCTTTCCGGCATCAAATACACTACAGTATTAATAGAAGTCATCTGTCTTCCTTAAGAGGAACAAATAACTTTCAAAGTAGAAAACAACCAAGACAGCAAAGAAAGGTCAGAAATCTTGGAATAAGTAGTATAAAGAAGGAAAGACAGTATGAGGGGGAAAAAGGAGTTCTTTGAACAAAAACCTGCAAACTTGTTCTTAGTGATGCATTTACAGGAGCATGAATGATTCTACAGATATTATCAGTTTGGCATATATCAGAAAAACTGTTTATGCTTTATCCACATTTAAGCACATTTCTTGTGCTTTAGCTGGAGAAAAATTGTTGGAACTCTTTGGAGAGACAGTCAATCCAGCTGCTGGTAGGAGCAATTGTCTTTGAGTAGTATAATAGTTTTACTCTTTGCCTTTGGGAAGAGTCTTATGCCTTCAGCATTCCCCTTTGCTAAAACAAAGATCTCGGAACATAGTCATGCCTAAATATCAACATTTTTTCCCTTGTCATCATCCTTTAAAATTAGGTTAATTATCCTAGGTTTGTATGAGTTTTCACTTCTGTGTCTGTATTTTTTTAAGCTGCTTTATTTCCATTTACTGCTGTTTCAAATTTTTTAATGCTCTGGAATGAGTTGAGTCACCTTTTCTACTTCCCACTCCAACCTTTGATTACTGAGCTTACTGATGTGAGCCAGTTACAACTTAGAGAGGACTTGGGAATGATTCCAGCATTGTCAGAAGGGTTCCATAGCTCAGAAATTAGTACAATGCAAAATATTTCAAAGAATTAGATACTCTTTTAAAACACACTGATTTAACTGCCAGCACTTGAATGTCATCCAAGTTCTGTAATGACAGTAATGAAAGAAGACTATAGGAAGAATTTTCAATGGCTGACTTTGCTTGTTTGCTTGGCTTCTTCTAGGCCTGACTATGGAAGTTGGGAGATCTATTGTTTTTGGCTTTTTTTTTTTTTTTTTTTAAACAAGATGAGGTACAAGATTCACAGAAAAATAAGTCATATTTTCAGATTTCTGGGTGTTAGTTGAGTAGATTGGGCCTGAATGGGAAGTAAATTATTGCTTGTGATGCTCCATCTTCAATGTCTTTGCTTCATTTGTGGTTTTAGTACTTGCATCCAGCTCTGTAGGTGAAGATATTTTTACATTTCCTTGAGGAGAAGTATTTGCTTTTTTGCTTTCAAGTTAGATGCCAAATAGCAAGAGTTTTCATCTTTGCCATTTGCTTTTCTTACTGAAGTTGTTGGAATCTCTGCTGGCTGTGTTTCCTTAGTGTTTCACGTGGGCGTTATTGCTGCTCCATCACAATATACTTGCTGTAAATGTTTTAAAGCTTGAATAATGGCAGATAATAAATAAAATCATAAATCTGACTTAATTCAACTACTGTGAGCTTATATGAAGTGGTTCATTATGGTAATGATTCCCAGGTATTCACTGAGATTCACAGATTCATTATTGTCCAAATACCAGAAATGGCTTCAAGTGTAAGATACCAAACTAAATAACCCAAGCATCAGGATATTCTGCCTGAGTCGATCCAAAACAAGACAGAACTTGAAAAATCCAGCATCAGATCTTGATGTCTAAAGTTAGGATTTGAATACTCCTGTGAAGTCACAACATTGTTGTCTAATAGGATTCCTCCTTTTCAAAAATAAATCAACATTCTCAATAGTTATAAAATTTGTATGGTTTTGGTTGTTTGGGCTCCAAGAGGCTGAATCTCTGGCTGGGGTACGATCTACAAAACATGTCAAACTGAAAATTGAAAATCGTGGTTTATAAGTTTCCTACTGTTTAATGTACCACTCTGGGGACGTGATGCAGCACGTTCAAATAGTTATATAGTCTCTCTGGGTGAGACTTGAGAAAATACTGCTTCATGTGTTGTTCAAACAGAGTGCTGCAGAAAAATGGTGAACCAGGTGGAGCAGTGTCTGTATACTGCACTTCTAAAAGTTGATTTAAATTGTCAATATCTTAATGAAAATTGGTCATGTTTGGTTTCTCAGGCTGGGTGCTACATTTGTCTTTAATGTTATTCTGTTTTGATGAAAGCATCTATTGTTTGCTCTACCGATTCTTTCTTTATAGTCTTCAGGGATTTGGCAACAGAATTTTTTGAAATAGCATTATATCTAGCAAAAGTTGCTAGTTTACACAAGCTTGATTGCTTAGAAGCAGTCTGGTATCAGTATTGGTTTGAAAAAAGGATAGAACTGTAATTAAATGGCAAGCTGGCAGTACCTGGAGGAATGAAATTACCAATTTTCTTTGTTAGAATTTTCCTGTGAAAACTGAGAGGGCTGGGCAGATACTTGTGGATGACAGCACAGCTTAAACACAGTTATAAATAAAAAGTCTAGGTGCATTGGTCTGTTTTTCAAAATACAGCAGTTAGCTAGACATCACTTGTGGCTAGAGCTGCGTATTGCTTAGATGCACTTTTTTAGTCACAACTAACAATTTTTCTTTCCTGAATGCAGGAGTCTGTCATTTATAAGTTGGTGTTCATGCCACCTACAGTGAGTATATGAGGGACAGAACTTTTAGATATTCTGGAGGCCACACAAGGAATTCTTACTACTTAGTAATATCCTTCAAGAAACTTGGCCAGCCCTGTCTAAGCAATCATTTGATTTCATGAGCAGCCTACTCTTGACTTGATTTTAGGGTAGGGGCAGGTACTTAAGTGTCTTTTATTGTAACCTTAAACTGAAAGGTAGTGGATGGGCTCAGACAAATCTAGTCCAGTCTAACCTAGGTTCAGCCTAGGTTTCATTCCTTTCATAGTGAGTTAATGTCATTATATTATTGTTAATAAAATGGTTATCTTTTTCCTTTAAAATAGCATTCTCTTATTTGTGTCCATAGTGCTGTAGTTTTGTGAGCTTCAAGTATATAGTACAATGTACAGAATGTAGTGAACAAAACATCTTGTTTATTTCCATTATTTCCTTAAGCAATAAGGTGATGATTCAAACTGTTCCTTTAAAACAGTATCTATAGCATAAAATAGACCTTTCAAACTTAAAATAGTGGTATTACATATAATTATTGTAACATCTTCTGTAATATTCTTAGTTATTATTGAATTCGTAGCTATTGCATCAGTAGTAGATGTAACCAAATACTTAAGTGCATCATTTAGCAATGGCTAATACCCTTTAGAAGAGTACCAAGTCTGCCAGGTTCTTAGTACATGGATATGTTGCTTAAAATCAGTTACCTGTTCTTTTAGCTAGTGCTGTGGATACTGAATTGAATTTCTTGCCTACCAAATACTTGGAAACAGATGTTTAGGTTTGTAAATCAACATTATCACTACATTTGCAATAACCTGAAATCTGTATGTGTGTTTTTTCTCTGGCCTTTGAGAGAGTAAATGTGAACTTGCAGAGAGACATTTCAAAGAAGTAAGGAGTTACTACCTGCATTAATGATTTAGAGACATTAATGACTTTGAAGGAACAACTATGCAGTTACCTTGAGTTTAAATCAGCTTTAAGGTGTTACTGAGGCCACCCTGTTCTTTTGTAAGTACTGCAGCAGTGTTGTATTTTGAGAAATTGCTGCCAGGATCTCTTTTTTTTCCTAACAAAGGAGCATTCCTTTTGTCTGGTTACTTTCCTGATGGAAGAATTACAAATGCATCCTATCCTGTCTGTAATGGGATTAACTTAGTGCTATGATGCAGAGATCATAATTAGACTTTGATCCTAAGTTAAATAGTTTTTTTTTTTGGAAGTAACTAAGCAACATTCTACTGATAATAATAGTTTTGAGATCTTACCTTGTGCTTTAAAGGTGCTTTAGGGAGTTGCCTAACTATACCTGTACAGAAAATGGTTTGTTTCAGATACCTACCTTGTTCTGAAATTTCAGCTTAATCGCAGAGTGGTTTGGGTTAGAAGGGACCTTAAGGATCATCTAGTTCCAATCCCCCTGTCATGTGTAGAGATCCTTCCACTAGACCAGGTTGCTCAGAGCCCTGTCCAACCTGGCCTTGAACACAGTCAAGGATGAGGCAGCCAGAGCTTCTCTGGGCTCTGGCAGGT